TATTTTATTTTATTTTATTTATTTTATTTATTTTATTTTATTTTATTTTATTTTATTTTATTTTATTTTATTTTATTTTATTTTATTATTTTATTTTATTTTATTTTATTTTATTTTATTTTATTTTATTTTATTCTATTCTATTCTATTCTATTCTATTCTATTCTTTATTCCAATAGCTATTCTATTCTATTCTATTCTATTCTATTCCAATCACAGCCACCTTTTTTCAATGGTGCAATTCAAAGTTAATGCATATTGGGATTCTTAAGTGGGTTGTCCGCCAATTATTAGCGCACCTAACTTTTCTTTAGTAAGGTGGCTGAATTATAAACCTAGACTACTCCGGATCCTTAGTTCTGCCTCCAAGATACTTCTATAAATCAATGTTTAAGAAACACTGCTTGACCCAGAACTACCGATTAGAGTTGTTGGACAGTGAAACCATTCAGACATGCATTCATGCACAAACTGCTTTAAGATCTTCTCTTCCTTCTCTTCCCACACTTTGTGGTTTTATTTGCAGACAACAAAGAATACGACGCCTACTTGTCATACACAAAAGTCGATCCCGATACATTAGACCGCGACAATCGGGAGGAAGAACAATTTGTCCTTGAAATTTTGCCAGATGTTCTGGAGAAGCAGTACGGATATAAGCTCTTCATTCCAGACCGGGACCTCATCCCTACTGGGAGTAAGTACCGATCCACTTGAGGTTTGAGACAACTTCTTGATCCTGCTAAGAAAGTGCATCCTTCTTGAGTGTCCCTCCCAATTTATAGCAAGGTACTCAGAAGTGGTATTCTGCTGGTTCTGACCAGTTCTGGAGAACCGGTAGTGGAAATGTTGAGTAGTTCATAGAATTGGCAAATACTCCCTCTGACTGGCCCCACCCCCATCTATTCTCTGCCTCCCATTGAGTCCCAGCTGATTGCCTGGATCTTCTTTGGTTGCCCTGCACAGGAGAACAGAGCTGGAAAGCAGGTTAGTGGGGTGGGGAGGGAATGGAAATTTTACAGTATCATTCCCCTGGAGTGGGAAGGGAATGGAGTTTTTGCAGTATTCTTCCCCTGCCATGCCCACCAAGCCATGCCCACCAAGCAGAGGTAGTATTCAGCCAGTTCTGACCAGTTCTGGAGAAACGGTAGTGGAAATTTTGAGTAGTTTATAGAACCGGTAAATCCCACCTCTGACTGGCTCCTCCCTGATCTCTTCTCTGCCTCCCGAGTCCCAGCTGATTGGCTGGGTCTTCTTTGGTTGCCCTGCACAGGAGAATGGAGCTGGAAAGCAGGTTAGCGGGGTGGAGAGGGAATGGGGATTTTGCGGTAATCTTCCACCAAACCACGGCCACCAAGCCATGCCGACAGAACCAGTAGTAAAAAAAAATTTGAATCCCACCATTGAAGGTTCTTCACAAAAAGAAGAAAGAATTGAGAACACCAAACAGTCCATTTAAACTCAGAGTCCGAGAAGTTGTAAAGAAGAGACCAGGGAAAGATAACAGTTGGGTTCAACAAAGCATCCCAAACTCTTGTTTGTTTGGGGTTTAGGTGGAACTCTGTCACTGTAGGATGTCAATCATAGTTTGTGTCTCCTTTGGCTATTGGGCCAGTCATCGTCGGTAATGGAATGTAATATTTGAACCAGCCCCTAGAGCACATTTACAAACCCTAGTAGGGCAAAAGATTAAGCCAAACCCAACAAGTCACATTCTGGATTCGCCCAAGTGTGTGAAACACACTGTTTGATTGCAACCACGCAGGGCTAGCCCCGTCTGTTAATATTTTCACTCGGGGTAGCGCTGTAGTTCCACATACCCTCATCAACGAATCAAAATTAAAGCAAAGAATCAGGTATATAACTACACGCCGCCTACAGCTGTGCATGTGGAGGGGGGAGCAGATTTAATTTTGTGCACAGCTGGTGTTGCTCCGAGCTTGGTTTTAAAAGAAGGGAGCAGAATCAAAGACTTTTAAGTCAATACAGGAAGAGCGAAGAGAACAAATGCTTTAGATGAATCAGCTTCCTCACAGGTGCTTCCAAAGGCAGGATTGCATTTTCTTTCTCTGTCCATCTGTCACTCAGACGAGCCAACAAAAATCTTCATCATTGTAATTTCAGAGAGTTGTTAAGCATCATCAAAATAATGTGCAGTGCTACCTGGCACGTTGGCTTTTTCGCAGCGCAGCATAATGTTGACTCCTTTCTTCCTTTCCTGGCTTGCAAAACTGAAATGATTCATATAGTTTTGAACAGATTTGATGCTTTCATGCAGAAGATTAAGGAATGCTTAATCACCCGCTAATGATGATGGTGCAGAATTTAAATTGGGCTGATTTCATTCCAAGCCAGCTTGGGTTTTTTGCAACCCACAGAAGCTCCTGGATCTGGCAGGGAAAGTCAACTTGGAATGTGTCTGAGATGCTCACTCTGTTGTTCACATTAAATGCATCTTTCATCGGCTTTAACCTGGAGCAATTAAACAAGACCGTATTCTCTCAGGAAATACAACTCTTAAAGTCAGAGAATGAGAACAATTCATAGAATAGAGCTAACAGGTTTTTTGTTTTTTTTTGGCTATGCTTCAGGAGAGCTCCCTAGATTATTCTTGGACTTAGTGGCAATAGCAATAGCACTTAGACTTATATACTGCTTTACAGTGCTTTTACAGCCTTCTCTAAGCGGTTTACAGAGTCAGCCTCTTGCTCCCAACAAACTGGGTCCTCATTTTACCCACCTCAGAAGGATGGAAGACCGAGTCAACCTTGAGCCCAGTGAGATTCGAACTGTTAAATTGCAAGCAGCCGGCAGGCAGCAGAAGTAGCCTGCAGTACTGCACTCTAACCACTGTACCACCGCAGCTAGTTTATTGGCAGGGTGCTGTCTTGGGCTTGCACACTTAAGGCAAAAAATTGTACAAGTCAAAGGACAGACTGTAGAATGTGTTATTTCTTGAGAAAGCCTGGATGGTAGGTTTCTTGGAACCAGCCAACCCTGTTAGACAAACAAATGAAGAATCGGGGAAGGCTGTGGTTGAGTGTCCACATTTAGGCTAAATGATGGCTTATCCATAACTGCTTGTTGAATCAACTGCAGTGCTTGGGTTAGCACATTAAACCCAGCCTCAAAACATGCTTACAAATACCAGTGTCTTAATTCACCCATTCTGCTAAATCCCATTGTGATGTGACATACAGTATAAACATAGCCAAAAAATTCTTGGGGTGGGGGTGGGATATTTTGACTCAGATAAGAAGCCTGGACCAGGTCTTGTCTCAAGGAGTTGCAAAGGCCAGCTACACAAGACCAACCACTCAAATATCAGGTGGGATAGTTCATTTATGGAAGCAGAATCAACCCATTGGATAATAGCAATGACATTTATGCATAGTGTCAAATTGGCTGGAGTAGATTTTGGTTGCCTACTCATTTAGAGAAGGAAGGAAATCCAAGCTGTTTTGATTTATTGATGATCCCAGAATGGGAGACAACTGAATTCTCTTAGCAGAAGTTGGACGCTCATTCCTCGGGGATGTCTGGATTCTTGTGTTGACCAGAAGATCAATCTTGGTGTCCTAAATGATCCTTTCCCACATTACAAGTCAACATTCTGCACAACTCAAGGGCAAGATAGTTCTATCTGTACAATTTTCGTATTTTGTGCCACAACTCCCATCACACCTGCTGCGGAACACGCTGGTTGAGGCTGATGGGAGTTGCAGTCAACAACATCCAGAAGACATCGGTTTAGAGCAGGGGTCCTCAAATTATGGCCCATGGGCTGGATACGGCCCACTAAAGCCATTAGTCCAGCCCGCGTGGGACCACGAGGCTGCCCCACCCACATCACCATCTCCCCACTTACCTGCCGGCCCCCACCCGTCTTCTGGAGGCCAGCAGAGTGCTACTGGAGGTGGAGGATGACTGGATTGGAAGAGGAGAGCTGCCCCCTCACCCACCCACTGGCTGGCCTTTTGGGGACACCGCGGGATTCCTCCACCGGCCAGCTGGTCTTCGACGCGCCACTCATCAACTTCTGGACAACAGATTTGCACCAGGGGTTCCTTTCCGCCCCCCTGAGAGAGAGAGAGAGACAGAGAGAGAAAGAGGGACACACACACACACACACACACACACACACACACACACACACACAAAGAGAATTCCCTCACACACCCCCAAGGCAGCCACATCCCTTCCCTAACCTGCTTTCCACCCCCAAAGTTTAATTTAAAGTTTAATTTGTGTGTATTGTTTAATGGACTGCTCAACTGGCCACACCTACCCAGTCGCACGGCCACCTAGCCATGCCCACCCATCTGTTCTGGGCCCCCCCCCCCCCAGTCCCAGGGACCATGAATTGGCCCCCTTTTTAAAAAGCTTGACGACCCCTGGAGAGTTGTCACCCTCTCTTTTACATATATATTAAAAATACGACCTATCCTGAAAATAAGTCCTAGCTTGATTTTTACACATGCACCAATATAAGCCCTACCCCCCCCAAAAAAAGCCCTAATTAAGATCAAAGTAAAATTTAAGCTAGGGTGGGGACGGGAGGTGGAGCTGCCCTACTACTTACCTTTGGACAGTTGTAGCCAGGCATTGCATACCCCGACACCTGCCTTGCCAGCCCATTTCTTCTGCAGCCGGCAAGGATTTCCCAGATCGATCCAGAGCTCTGCCCCCATTTTGGCTACAGAGGCCTTCAGGAAAGCCTTGCCGGCCACAGAAGAAGAAGTTCCTGAAGGCCTCTGACCACGAAAAGGAGGCTGGGACCAACACACCCAAGGGAGATTAGTCAGTGGATGACATCCCCCCAAAATAAGACCTGGTGCCTTTTTTCATGGCAAAAAAAGTATACAAGACACGGTCTTATTTTTGGGGAAACACAGTATATAGAGGTCCCTGTCACTCAAAATAACACTAAAGGGTAAAACGGAACGACACTCTTCTCTTCCAGCCTAGCTGATGCAGAGACGCATCTTCTAAAAGGCCTTTTGCTGAGAATTGTTTCTTGATTTCTTGGCCAGGGAGGAAAGATTGGGTTTGACAGCTTCTGGTCATTAGGAAATGCCAACGGGGTTGTGCTGTCTTATGGGGGGTGGGGGGGTGGGGGGGGAGGAAAAAGCATGAATGTTCAGGCTGACGAACATACCTGGCAGTGTTGTTCTAGTTCCTGAGATTGATAGTCGAGGCGGCAGTCGGAAGACGCCGCGAACGGAATAGCAAGAAGCGGATTTTACGAAAGACTCGCTTCCCAGCGGTCTGAGGGAATGCTGTAGAATCCATTTTATTTTTGGGGTCAGGATTTTTTTAAAAAAAAGGCAGAGGGGATTCGCAGGAGAATCCTCGACTTAATGACCGGCGTTGAGCCCAAATTTCCTCTGCTCAGCGAGACAGCGGCGAAATTAGTTTTGCCCCCATTTTGCGGCCTTTCTCTTCACAGTTGGAATCCCTGCAGTTGTTGAGTTGATCACACGATGGTTAAGGGATTCTAGTTTCCCTGCTGACTTCGCTTGTCAGGAGGCCGCAAAACCAGATTCCCTGGACCTCAGGACAGAGCCACCATCATAAGTCACGAGTCAGTGGCCAAGCATCTGAATGTTGATCACGTGACCCTGGGGAGGCTGCAACCATCATAAGCTGTGATGACCCAGGGTGGGATACAAAATAACACAGTCACAAAAAACAGGTGAAGCCTCTTTTATTCCTTCACTTTGCTTCAAAGCTCCAAGTATCCTTGACTGGAGACAAAAAAACTCCCCCACAAGCAGTTACGAAAAGGAGGAAATGCCGTTTAAACTAAAAATGCCTATAAATTATAACTAGGAAAAAACAACACAAACCACACTGAAGCAATTACGGGAACCAGGCAAGATAAGGGCTTGAAGACGTCCACAGATATCGGAACACACACTGGGAAGGACGCCAAACTCAGAGAGGAACGACAGACTAGAGATATTTCCATGCTTTGTTTCCAGCACTGGCCCATACGCATGTCCGTCCTTTTAACCAGTTCTGCAGCCCATGAAGGGGATGAAGGCCCTTTCCTCCCCCATAGACCATGCCACTCTCGTCTCTCCCTTATCCTCTCCTCCCTGCGTGCCCTAGGATGGAGAGGGGATGGGCCTGGGTCTTTCTCGGACTGCCCAGCCGGCCTCTGCCCTTCCGTGGCCTCCTCCACAACCTCCAGAGCCACACTTCCACTCCCTGTCGACTGTTCCTCCTCTCCTTTGGAGTCAGTCTCTAATAGGGCATGACACTTATATGTATTGTCAAATGCATGCTTGACAAAAGAAATAAATACAATAAAATAAATTGAGGATTAGCTGTAACTGGGATTGAAGTCCGCAATCCAATATGCATGTCATTTAGGAATTTCACTCAAATCCACGGGGAGAAGAATGTAAGTTTTTTCGGAGTCTTACTAGGGGTTATCCACCCATGAAGCCAAAGCACCCACTTTTGTCCAAGTTCCCAACATCCCGTCTTTGTGATGTATACCAGTTTTCCACCTCCTCACTCAGCTTTTGCTTACTTGCCTGTTCTCTTGTGAAATAGGTATGGGGGAATCAGTAACCACACATCCATACAATGTCTGCAGTTAGCAATAGCAGCAGCACTTAGACTTATATACCGCTTCACAGTGCTTTACAGCAGAGGTGGCATTCAGCGGGTTCTGACCAGTTCTGGAGAACCAGTAGTGGAAACTTTGAGTAGTTCAGAGAACCGGCAAACACCACCTCTGACTGGAGATTTTATAGCATCCTTCCCCTGCCACGCCCACCAAGCCACGCCCACAGAACTGGTGGTTTAAAAAAAAAATTGAATCCCACCACTGCTTTACAGCCTTCTCTAAGTGGTTTATAGAGTCGGCCTATTGCTCCCTCCAACAAACTGGGTCCTCATGTTGCCAATCTTGGAAAGATGGAAGGCTGAGTCAACCTTGAGCAGGTCAGGATTGAACTCCTGGCAGTGGGCAGTTAGGCTGCAATACTGCATTCTAATCACTGGGAAGGAAGTGAGGGAGGGAGGAAGAGAGAAAGGAAGGAAGGAAGGAAGGAAGCACAATAGCAACAGCACTTAGACTTATCCACCGCTTCACAGTGCTTTACGGTCCTCTCTAAGCGATTTAGAATTGGCTCCTCATTTTACCCACCTCGGAAGGATGGAAGGCTGAGTCAACCTTGAGCCGGTCAGGATCGAACTGCTGTCAGTGGGCAGGGTCAGCCTGCAATACTGCATTGTAACAACTGCACCACTATGACTTACCTCCCTTTCTCCCTCCCCATTCCTTCCTTCCTTCCTTCCTTCCTTCCTTCCTTCCTTCCTTCCTTC